GGCCCAGAACCCAGGCAGAGGGCCCAGAACCCAGGCAGAGGGCCCAGAACCCAGGCAGTGGGCCCAGAACCCAGGCAGCAGGCACAGAACCCAGGCAGTGGCCCCAGAACCCAGGCAGTGGCCCCAGAACCCAGGCAGCGGGCCCAGAACCCAGGCAGTGGCCCCAGGGTCTCAGGCTGTGCTTCTCCCAGGCTCTCCCGCCTGTAGACAGCCCGGTGTCGCCGATCTAGCCTGTCACCACCTGGTGAGGTCTGGCGGAAGGGCTGCCGGGCTCAGCTGGGTGGGATCCGATCCTGGCAGTGCAGGCTGTGGCTGTGGGCAGGCAGAGTCTGGACAGGTCCAGGGGCTGGACTGCAGCCTGGGGTGTCTCAACCACGGCTTGATGGAGGCTCTTGGGGCATGGTACACGGGGCCTGCCCTGGGGGGGCCTTCTTCCCTGCCCCTCAGCTGGACCAAGGATGCTGCGTGGGTGGGGCCTGCCTTCCGCTGGCCCCAGCCCTCCTCTGCAGCCCCCCAGCCCTCCTCCTCTGCAGCCCCCAGCCCTCCTCCCCTGCAGCCCCCAGCCCTCCGCCCCAGCAGCAATTCGGACCTCACCGGGGAGTGCCACCTGCCACCCAGCCCTGGTGCTGCAGCGGGGGTGCCGAGGGTCATGTCTTGTCAGAGTAAGGGAGCAATGGGGACTTCAGTCTCAGCACCCAGTTGGCGCGGCTGGCCCCGGTGGCACACCGTAAGACTCAGGACGGTGAGCCCCGTGTTCCCAGCCCAGCCCCTCCGCTCCCGGGGCAGCACAGCCCAGCCGCGCTGGTTTTGGATCATTTATTCTCGTCCAGAGGTTCGAGTGGAAAAATAAACAGAAACCAAACAACACGGGCACGAGAGCAGAGGCCTCTAGTGACTTCGGTCGCCTGCCCCCCGCACCGCTCAGGGAGGCTGCGTCCCCTCCGCCTTGGAGGGGGGACGGCCTCAGTCTTCAGTGCTTTATCAGGAGGACTTGGGGACCCCTCAGCCTACGGTGTCAGAACCCCCCCATGGATGGGAAGGGGCCGTGGAAGCCCCCAGGGCAGGGAGGGGAGAGGTGGGAGGGCACGGAAAGCCCCTGAAAGGCCCTGGGGGGTCACAGGCTGGGGCCCAGGATGAGGGCGAGGACGCCGAGGGCCAGTGTCAGGCCGAGAGTGGCGCTGGAGAGGGCAGCCGCGCTGCTGCGGCCTGCGTTACACAGGTCACCCTGGCAGCAGAGGGTGGTGGCTGAGCCACTGCTGACCTGGCCCTGCTGGAAGTACTTGGTCTCACAGTAGTCCACACAGTCCTTCTTCACCAGGTTCCCAGACAGCAGCTCCACTGGGGGATGGGGGCGCTGTCAGAGGACGCAGGCCGCGGCCACAGCCCCCGCCCCAGGCTGTCCAGCTTGTGTCCCCGGCAGCCCATGCCCAGCTCCCGCCAGCATCCCCTTGGCCATTGTGATCACTGAGACCATCACCGCCACCTCCCTGGGGCTGGTCCCACCCCTGGGCACCCTGCATGCTGTCCCTGGCCGGCACTCACCGGTCGTCATGGTCCTGCAGAAGCGTGAGCTGGCCGGACAGGTCTGGGGCTGCTTGCAGTTGGAGGTGCTGACGCACACGTGACACTGGAGCGCCCGAGCTGGGGGGGAGGGGGGTCAGGGTCTCAACAGCACAAGGAGGCCGGCTCACTGCCCGCAGAGACCCCGCCTGCACCCCGCCTAGGCCACCCTGGTGGGCCTGCCAGGGCGCCTTTCCTGTAAACACCTCAGGGAGATGATGTCTCCTTGGCCCGGGAAGCCCCCAGAGCAGGAGTCTGCCACAGGCCAGTGTGGGAGTGTCCCGGAGACCCCACCCTCTGAGGGCCGTCGGGAATCTGGGGTTGGGCTGAGAGCAGGTCCAGAGGACACGCCGTCCCTCACCCAAAGGGCTGTCCCCAGCACAGCAGCCGATGTTCCTGAGGCTGAGCTGAGCCGGGCCAGGTGCTGTCAGCTTGGCTGCTGTAAGCCTTGAGGGGAAGGGCTGTCCCGCGGGGATGGGGAGGGGCTGGCAGGCAGGGCCTGGATCCCCGGTTGGGGGGTGCATCTCAGACAACCCCCAGCTCCACTCTGACTCCGAGGGTCTGATCCCACGAATCGGGACTCAGAGTCTCTGATTCTTAAATAGGCCTGTGATCCCACCAAGTCAGATGTAGGGGTGTGATCCCACTAAGCCAGATGGAGGGGTGTGATCCCACTAAGCCAGATGGAGGGGTATGATCCCACCAAGCCAGATGGAGGGGTGTGATCCCACTAAGCCAGATGGAGGGGTGTGATCCCACTAAGCCAGATGGAGGGGTATGATCCCACCAAGCCAGATGGAGGGGTGTGATCCCACTAAGCCAGATGGAGGGGTGTGATCCCACTAAGCCAGATGGAGGGGTGTTTTTTTAATTCTAAGATCCCACAGCTCCAGGAGCGGAGCATCTCAGTTTCAGGATTCTCTAGGCTAAAGGTCAAAAACTCCAGCTTCTGACGTTGGGTGATTCCCGGTCCTGCCCAGCCTGGATGAGGGTCCAGCTGCCCCCACCCCCCCCCAGCCCCTCACCTGGCCCGCTGGCCACAGCCAGTGTGAGGAGGAGCAGCAAGGCCGTCTTCATCATGGGCGTCATCTGGGAACAGTGGGGGCCCCCTACCCAGAGTCCTTATAGCTGGCACGGGGCAGGGCGGGGCGGGCAGCGGGCCAGGCACTGGCATTCCGGGACCAGTGCGTGAGTCAGCCCAGTACAGGGACTGGCCCCGCCTCACCTGGCCCACACCCACCCTGCCCTGCCTCTGCCAGGGCCCTAGGTGCATCTCCGCCCTGCAGCTCCCTCTGTTGCCCTCTCTGACTCTGTCTCTCTGGGTCTCTTCACCATCTGTCCATCCCTGCATCACTCTGTCCTTCTGTCCCCTCTCTGACACCATCCTGTGGCATTGTTTATTTCGTCCCTGCTCTGGGTGCCCCTGGGTGCCCAGGGCTGTGTCCGTGGGGCAGCGGAGGCAGGAAGAGGCTGCGTCTGCCTTCCTGGGCTCAGGACGCCTGGAGACGGGGTGCAGCCCTGGTACAAAGGAACCTGTGGAAGCAAAGCAAAGAGGAAGGAGGAGGGGCTGGGTGCACAGGGCGAGGGCGTGAGGGGGTGGACGTGGGGGGGCGGGAGAGCGGAGAAATGAGTACTGGACCTCGTATACAGTAGGTGCCAAGTAAGCGCTGGCTGGAATGAGGTCGGAGGCCCAGCTGAGCAGGAGAGGGGACTGGGCTGATGGGCGAGGGCAGGGGTGGTGCTGGCCAAGACTCAGGTCCGCACCATCCCTGCCTCCATCCCCTTAGGGCCAGGCCCCCACCAGGGTGCCCCTCACATCTCTCCAAGTCTCTGTCCTGGCCCCCCAGGCTGTGGGCTCTTCCAGGCCAGCCCCCAGAGCTCAGGCCCCAGAGCAGGGTCCCCTTCCCCTCCCTCCTCTCAGGTTCTCAGAGCACTGCCCCCTCCCCACCAGCCTGCGAGCCTGGGGCCTAGCTGAAGGGGGCCCAGATGGCCCCAGCTCCTTCCTGCCCCACCCTGGAGGCGACATGGGTGAGGGGGGTGGGCCTGGATGGGATGCAGGGGCCAGGCTGAGGGGCTCAGACCTGGCGCAGACCCCCTGGTCCTCCCACCCAGAGGTGGAGGGTTCCCTTGGCAGTGCTTCGGTGCCCTGGAGGGGGCAGGGAGGGGTGCAGGGCTCCCGAGGCTGCCTGTCCTGCCCTTCCCCGGGCCCCAGGGGCTTGTTGAGGGAAGCTGGGGCCTGACCTTACCAGGCAGGTACAGCAGGGGTCCCCAGGCCTAGAGAGGAGCCCCGGCCCCCCTGAGTGAGGCACGGCTGATGAAGGGTGGAACCTGGGAGGGTGATTCAGGGGCCGTGGAAACAGGTGCAGAGCTCGGTGTGGGGTGTGAGGTGAGGAGGGGTGACTCATGAGGCTGCCCCCACCAGGCTTCTGGAAGAACGGGTTTGGGAGAGGCAATGGAATTCCTGCTAACCCAGTGGAGCTGGAGGGTGCGAGGACGTGCAGGTGGGCTGGGAGTGGAGGTCCGGGCAGTCTGCAGGCAGCGGACTCCGTGGAGGGAGACCGTTGTTCCCGGCAGGGCTGCCCGTGAGGATGTGAGCTCTGCCACCCGGGGTTTCCCAGCGCAGCAGGAGCAATGGTGCTGGACACTTCTATGTACAGGAGAATGTGGGTGGCCTGGACAGCAGGAGCCCTCCGAGAACCAGGAGGTCACCGGGCAGTCAGGGAGGGCTTCCTGCAAGGGGTGGCGTGGCTGTGGCCTTGGGGGCAGGATTCCAGTGGGAGAGGAAGCACTGTCAGCGTGCTGAAGTCGGCACCCTTCCTTCCAGCACCCCGTGTTCTCGTTCGGTGCTATCGACTCGGTTCCCACTCATGGTGCCCCCATGTGTGCAGAGTAGAACTGCTCCACAGGATATTCAAGGCTGTGGCTTTGAGGAAGTCGATCGCCAGGCTTTCTTCCCAGGCACCCCTGGGTGGGTTCAAACCGACAACCTGTCAGCTACTAGTTGATCACTTAACCGTTCATGTCAGCCTGTACGGGAGGAAATGAGGGCTAGAGAGGGCCAGGGTCCGTGGGGGCAGGACCCGGCTGAGGTCTCTGCACTTCTTTCTGTGACACCAGCCCCCTTTCCCCTCCTGCTGAGTGCTCAGACCCCACCCCAGTGGCTCCCTCCTGGCCTGCCCTCTCTCCCAGCCCTGATGTGGACCATCGGCAGGAGTGCGGCCCAGGAGACACGGGGCCCAGTGTGTCTGGGCCAGAGTTTCCCTGCTTGTGGCCCCTCTCTGCGCTTGCCTTCCTGCCCCCTCCCCTGGGTCTCAGCATCTTAGGGGAGGGACAGCAATGAAGTCCAAGCCTCCAGGTGGTGGGGTGTGCACGGCCCGAAGTGGGGGGCACAGGCTCAGGCCCCTCTGAGAGCCTGCCCTGGACTGGGGGAGGGCACTGAGGTAGGCAATGCAGATCCCCCTGGGGGTGCCCAAGACTCTGGGGACAGAGGAGGCTTCTGCAGCCTCAGGCTGCCATGGGGCGGAGGGGAGCCTGGTCGGTACACAAGGACACACCCCAGGGCTCCGGAATGCTGCCCTGAGGTGCTATTCTTGCCGGACAGAACAGACCTACCAACGTGCTGGACCCACCACTGTGCAGATGAGGTTCTAGCTACTGGGACTCAGGACTGGCCGCCCTGGAGGCCCTTGGCCGGCCCTGGGTTCTGCGCCAGGACTGGGCTGGGCTGTTCTCTGGGATGTTTGCATCTGGTTGAAGCCACTCTGGGTGTGTGTTGGGGGGTGGCGGGGACAGCCCCAGGGGATGGAGGGGGCCCAGGCCGAGCTGGCCCTGCCAGGAAGCTTATCCCAGCAATCACAACAGCTTAGGGAGCAGGCACTTTCTGTCATATCCTGGGAGAGTTACGTAACAAGCAGGGAGTATGGATGGGTCCTAGGAGCAGGAGATGCTGGGAAGCCGGGTGCAGGGGAGGGGGGAGGAATGGAGCCCCCGGAGCCCCTGGCTGGCCTAGGACAGAGCCAGCCCTGACCCCAGGCCACAGAAAAACTGGGTTACGGAGAGCGCCTTCATTCCAGAAGGACTCTACGCGGCTCCACTGGCTTCCCCATCTCAGCGGCCACCCCCACTCCCCGCCTCGGTTTCCTTCAGGCATTTCAGGGGTAACATGTTCCACCCTGAACTAGGCCAGGCAGGGCTACACTCCCACGCCACGCCACCCACCAAACCAGCTCCTCCCCTACACATGGCAGGGGCACAAAGGGACAAGGCCACCACCCCCAGGCCACATCCAAACCCTCGCCAGGCCCTGGGGCCCATCTTTGCCCAGTTAGGGCCCATCTCCTCCAGGCTGGGGGCAGCAGCGCTTCCCTCTGCTCCACTAGCCTCCTCTCTCCTCCCCTCCCCACGCAGGGCCAAGTCACCAAAGCAGAGGCCACCAAGGCTCCTAGATGGAGCCCCCCCATCCCATGTAGCCCTGGAGCCTAGTCAGGGTCCACGCTCCACCTCCTCGGGGCCACGCTCCCCTTGCTCCTTCTGTTCCACTACTCGGGCCCTTTGAGGATCCCTGTCTCCTGGCTTTACACGTGCTGCCCCCCCTGCCGGAGACACTGGTGCCCCACCCCGGGCTGGATCTCAGCCCCCACTTCCCTCCTCAGAGGCCTCTGCCGACCATCCCCCGCACCCTGCTGTCCACCAATTGCGGGTCCACTGCTGTCAGCCACTGTCTCTCTGGGGTGCTGTAGGCGCTGGCTGAGTGGTGATTTATGAGACAGTAGCTTCGGGGCTTGGTTCAAGTTAGGGAAGCTCTTTGTGCCTCAGTGTACCCATCTGTAGCAAGGGGGCTATTAACACGGAAGTTGGGGCTTGGGGTTGGGTCGCCCTTCCCCACCCGGCCTTGGAAGCTTGGAGCGTGGAAATTCCCCTATAGGGAGGGTCACCATGAGTCAGAATGTCCTTGATGCCAGTGGGTTCAGTTTGGGTTTATGGAAACCTTCTCCCAGCCCCACCTCCACTCTGAGCCGTTGCTCTTGGAGGAGGAATGTGTGGGCTGGCATCCCATGGGATCTGATGTGGGTTTCTGTTGGGACTTGTAGGGGTGGGGCCTGCCCTGCAGGGTGAGGTCACTGCCAAGGTCAGCTGCCAGGGAAAGGGTTCTCACGCAGACAGCCAGGAGCCCTGGTGACACAGTGATTAAATGCTCCGCTGCTACTTAAGTGCTAGTTGAGTGGTTAAGTGCTCAGGGCCTAGTCCTGAGCCCTGACTTCTCTCCTGAGAGGGCCACCCCCACACAGGCCCCATACTAACCATGGTCCCTGAGCCCAGCCCCGCAGGCCTGCGGTGCAGGAGACTGTGGTAGTGGCTCCAAGGGGCCCAGAGGGAAGGAAGCGGGGAGCCTGGCTTCCAGCAGGGTGCCCTCAGCTCCCCTTAATCGGCCTCTTCCTCAAGGCAGCTCAGGTTGCAGGGGTGGGGGGAGCCCCCAGCAAGTAGGCAGTCTCCGCTCTCCATGAACTTAGCCCTCGGCTTCCCTGGCGGCCTTGAGAGCATGGTGCTCCCCTACAAAATGGCCGCCACTACACAGACACAGGCAGAGGACACCCACAGGAGGCCGGTGGGGCCGTGTGGGGCACACAGGTCACGGACAGCAGCCGCATGAGGTTAGAGAGGTGGCTGCTGGGAAATCCCAGTTGCGTGAGGGATCGCATGGAAGTGCCAGGCCTGGGGGTTCTCGAGGTGAAGGCTGTCCTCTCTGTGGGCCTCGAGCTCACAGCAGGCAGTATCCGTGGGCCAGGTGGCTGTAGGAACATCCCAGGGACCTGTCTCACTGCCAGGTGGCCAAGGCAGGTGGGGAGGGACGGGGGGCTAAAGGGGGTGGGAAGTGTGTCTCCTCTGGCTTTTGAGTCTCTAGGGTAAGAAGCAGCAGGGAGGAGACAGCCGAGCCGAGCAGGTTCCTGCAAACCTGGGGAGTGGGGGACTTTGAGAGCGGTGGGTGCAGGGACCTGGGGAACAGGGCCACACAACTCCTGGAGAATTGAGGGCCTCTGGTCTTGCCATCCAGGAAGAGCCTGGGATGGGACTGGGCC